GATGCTGAGCAGGTCGACGGAGAGGGGAAGGTGCCACATCCGCTTGAAGAGGAGGAAAAAGTACCGCATGAGAGTGCAATCCCGGTGAGTAATATGACCCCTGTGACTTCGACGAAGAGCCACTAATCTCAGTCTCACGGACTAGAAACCGGAAACGATTTCAGAAGATGGAGTAAATCGCGAGGTTCTTCTGTCCCCTATTCAGACGGTGGCCTGTGTATTCCACAACATGGTTGAGCCCCCTAAAGGCGCTATCTGGGTGCGTTTTTTTATTTTCATTTTTCCAAAGCACAATCTAATCTCTTTCCAGTGGCCTACTAAGCGGCAGGGGCCATATAGCACGATTCTTGCTATCCCCAGTCGTATTCTTGCTCAGCTCGACAAGTATACACGCTCAGGCAAGGAGGTCCAGCGTCTCACTGCAATAGTCGAAGAATGTCTTGAGCCCGGAGACCTTTTTCGCTCCCTTGACTTCCTCACCAAGTTTGCAGCTTCCCTGTCTTTGGATCCATCGGACGACAAACACCTTTTTGAGTTGTTCATGCTCGGAGACTATGGCCTCCATCCATTCGTCAAGTCAATTCTTGGCCTCCACTCTGGCCTTCGCACCCATCAATCTACCCTTCCTTTGAAAGTCTATAACGCGGTTGCCACAGAGATAAACAGTCTAGGACGAACGCTCAGTACTCTTCTTCACCTGTTCCAGGCACGTGTACAGAGAGCGGGGTATTCACCTGTCGGTTTCGCTGATTTCTTCGGTGTAATGGACCATACGAATCTTGTGTCTAATCTTCCAGTGCGTCGCCTTTTGCATTTTTACTGAGACACACCCCACTGACCATCTGATCGGACAGCTCGCCACTGCGAGTCAGGAGTACCTCCTTCTCTCGTTGGATGCCACCACATTTCCTGGCTATACGAAATCGCCGGAACTATACAAGAGAATGATTGTTGCGGACTTCAATACTCTGAACGACTCACTTAGCATAGACCCATCTGTGCTTCGACGGGGAATTCATGGTCCTGACGGCCTCCTATTCAAGCTCATTCGGTTTCTTGAACATCCACCTATTCTACCGAGGGAGGAGCGCCGACAGGAGATGTATGATGAGCTCTTTGTTGTTTTTAGTGAGCTGTGCAATGCTTTAGCTGAGAGGGTGCACGCAACGGCAAAGGTATGTTTCAACTCTCATGCAATCAAGATTGCTCCTTATGCTGACTCTTTCGTTTATTAGGCGGATGGAAAGAAAAAGGCGTCACCAATACCCAAAAGTCCAAGGTGATCATGGCTTCCCTTTCCATCCACCGTTCTGAACTAGACTGACTCAGGAACATATCAGACCAGGATCTGTTCATACACTCTCATCAGATTCGGAGGACGATGAGACCCCCCCTGGCACTCACTATTTCCATTTCCGAGATGGTAAGATCTCTTTCTATATTACGCATGTTTAATATTAATCTTCTGCCTGTTTAGATCCATTTGATAGCACCGGTCGTGAAGAGCGCACGGAGACACCTACGTCTGAGCCGCAGTCCGAGCCAATGAACGGTTCTAGGTGCTCGTTCCCTCCTCCACCCTTCCCTCCTCCGCCATCATCATCATCTTCTCGGTCACGGCCCCAACCGCAACCAAAATCTGGGTCGAAACCTACAACATCTTCTGCAGGCCCTGTTCCCACCCCTGTGGATTCGTCTACAGATGAGCCTCCCTGGGAACGTCTCATCCGTGACCTTGAAACACAACATCTTCATTCACGCGGGCAAGCTAGACCATTCTACGAGAATCTATGGCGAAGTTTCAGCTGGTATCCGAACCTCCAGCGCCATCCAGAGTGGGCTTGGAGTCAAGTAAAGTTGAAAAGTGATTACGATGTTTATAAGATCGCGATTCGGGTAAGTCGCTCTGTTTTCTCCTAAACCATTGTTTTTCAAAAACCACATTTCCAGATCTTCCATTCGGATAAATTGCTGCCGATGATGAGAACGGATGACACGGTGAAGCTTTCCAATCGTATTACACACCTTCTCTTGAAGTGCAAAGACCTTAACCACCAGTAGATACGCGAATGAACAGCATAAAATAGATAACTACTTGTTGCGTAGCAATAGAAGTAATTTGGCTTGCCATTGAACAATAGCAGAACCCAGCAGAACCTGATTGGAACGATTCAGGCACATATAACTTCTGAATTTGATTCGGCGGCTTAGTCACACCGTTCACTCCTCTTTCATGTTTTCCTAGCTCATGGATGACTCCTCCGATCGTCCTGACCGCACACACGCCTTTCTTCTTCATGCAGAGACTGTCGTACATGAAGCCGCTCGCATTGCTGATTCACTTCCGGATGCAGAAGAGTTTGCAGTCGAGTGTGCAATGCGTCAGCTATTGCGGATTTTTCACATTCTCTCAAACCTCGAAGATGAATACCTCACACTGGACGAATGTGAGGCTCTCATACAAGTCATTGTCGAAGTCGCAACTCCACTTTCCGAGTTTCTGAAACAACCTCCATCATCCAATCCACGAATCCATTTTGTCTATTCGGGGAGGCCAGGTCGCCCGCGATTCCAACTGAACCTCAATCGACTTGTCGATCTTCACAACCTGGGATGCACTTGGCAGTCTATCGCCAACGCTGTTGGTGTCACACGGAGGACACTGTACAACCATCTCTCCATTGCTGGCCTGTCCAAGGCACGACCCTTGTACGACAATATTTCTGATGATGAGCTGGATGAGCTCATTGCATCCATCAGCCTCCTTCATCCACTCGCTGGCTCAGTCATTGTAAGGGGTCATCTCGAGGCACATGGGTTTCGGGTACCACCTTTGCGGATACAAGAGAGCTTGCGACGTGTCGATGCCATTGAGGTCTTTGTGCGGTACGCTGTGTCTTTTCGTTGCTCAATTTGGAATTCCGAGCTCATTTTCGAATCTAGATGGAGTGGATGCATCAAGCGAAGAGTGTACAAAGTTAGAGGCGCCAATGCACTGTGGCATCACGACGGAAATGAGAAGCTCAGACCCTGGGGGCTCTATATCCACGGCTGTGTGGATGGGCATTCTCGTCTGATGCTATACATGCACTGTTGTAATAACAAACGTGCCTCTGTTGTCGCAATGATATTCCGGAAGGCGGTAGGGATGTATGGGTGGCCAAGCCGGATGCGCGGTGACTTTGGAAGGGAGAACAACGAGGTTGAAAGGCTGATGATTGGAAGATGGGGCGAGGCTCATCGTGCATATCTACGCGGGAGGTAAGTCTGTTTATTTGTATACCATTCCAACTTGATTTGATTTGGTATGGTATCGGTTAGATCGACACAGAATGTTCGAATCGAGCGCGCCTGGCGAGATGTCAGGAAGGACACAATCGAATCATTTCGCAAGGTGTTTGAATACCTCACGGAGGCTCACCTTCTCAACATGGAGGATCCTATCCACCGTATCTGCCTATATGTTGTGTATCAGCCACGCATCCAGGCTTCTCTCAACCGCACTATGGCATCCTGGAACCGCCACCGTATGTGCACTGCCAGCAATCAGTCACCACTGGCTCTCTACGAGTTGAGTCGGGAGACCGCTATCAATTGTGGATATTGGACGGGGGACCCAGGCGATGATATCAACACCGCATCTGGTCCAAACTATGGAGAGGAAGATGGTGAGCTACCACCTTTAGATGAGCTTAGGGCTGATCCTCGGCACCCTGAGTATCGCAAATATGAGTGCAGTGCTCAGGAGAGGGCCGATGGAGTGTTTGTTAATGATGACGATGAGATTGCAGAGGGTAGAGAGTTCTTCTCCAATCAGGAGTTTGATACAACTCGAGACGATGAGAACTGGGGTATTGATGTATATTGTGAAGCAGTCTTGTTGATGGAACAGCATATGCAGTCGATGTAACAATTTTCACGTCCTTGTTCCAGTATAGACTGTACTTTTCAGAACGCTTCATTCGGTATTTTTTAGACATCATGCAGGTTCCGAAAGACTATATCTTGACTTTTGAAAGCATAGGTATAAGCCCCCGGGATATATGGTCCCCACAATACTCGCCATTCGTGAATGTTTTAGAATGTGCACTGCCCGGTATAGGTCCCATAGTTCTCTATATCAACAGTGGACCAAGTTCAACCTCAATGACATTTTTGCAACATCCTGGGGCATCAGAAAAGCTGAATACCAAGTCTGGGATGACATGAATAAAAACTCCGCGATACATGGTCCGATTCATGTTTGAGCTACGCTGCATCCACAGTGACACAGCAGAGCATTCAGAATCGGGGTCATCTGACTTGATCAAACATGTCTCTCACACAATTATAATTTCTGAACCATGATAAGCACTTGGAGAAAGCATATCTCGAGTCTGAGCAAAGCACAATCAAACCTCCGGGATACATGGTCCCATTAGTGCAAAGTAGTTGGTATACTTTCACTCACGCGATACAGGCTTTGCCCGGTGCCGGCTAGTCACGTGATCGGTCACTTTGCGGGAGTCTTGGTGCGGCTTCATTTCGAAAGTCTCACCGTCTCACTGTCTCAGAGTCCGCCGAAAGGGATATCTTGCAGGTAAGTCTCAAAACTCACATTTACAAAATCTCGCTCATAATTATTTCCCATTATATGTGCCATATTTGTGCCATAGCCATACCATAGGCTTGGTACAGCCAAGGAATTCGGACAGCTTGTTTGACTTTCAAGTTGAGGTAGAGTAAACACCGAAGACCCGAGAACTCTTGGATTCACGCGAATTGATTCTTTCCAGTATCCGACCTCGGGAGAATGGGATCGAGAGTCAAACAAGTCGAGTCGAACATGACTCTCTTTGATTATGATTCGTCTCATGAGTTTACTAAACCGAAGGCTCGGGGTCTATAAATTATTCGAGATTTAATCGTAACGGCTGTTTCAACATTCAACGACCTCGGTTGGAAACATTCTCGAATCTCGACTTCATCCATCCAGTTAAACGGTCAAAGCTGAATATATCGCCCGCCTAGCTCAATCGGATAGAGCGTCAGACTTTTATATTAGAGGCATTGTCGAGTTCTCCTTACATTTGAAGGCTGCGAGTTCGACCCTCGCGGTGGGCTATGTGACTTGAATTTTTTTGCGGGAGTGGGTATTCTCGTAGCGAACTAGTACGGAACCGAAATTGGATATAGAAAAGCGGCACCCATCCATCAAGTTACGTCTCTCTGAATCCTGATTATCTAGCCACCAGGACACGGAGGTTAAAGGTGGCATGAGCTCACCTGAGCTCGTAACCCCCTGAGATGGAGGGGCGAACTCGGAATTGCAGCCATCGTTCTCTGGTATCTATTAGTCATCGTGACTTGCTATCAACTCATTTCCAACACAACTTGCTGGCATGTCAAAGAAGCGTCAGTGATAAATAAAACACATCCGAATTCCTTAAGAGCTTCTCCTAACCGGATGGCAAGGAGTGGGAAGGTCCCGTTATCAGTACGCAACTGACCGGGACTACTGTGGCAGCAGACGGCGGCGTGGACTGGGTTACTGGGTAAGTCCTCTATTTGCCTACCCACCAAATGAGTGGTAGTTCCCGCCACTGGTAAAATCAATACGACAGTACTGCCACTAGCCAGTAACAGACAGTTGTTGTTTCATGACCGAGTCCAGGCATGGAGAACTGAGTAGTTCGTGATTTCCCACGCCACGATGGTATAAGACTTGCAAGTTTCTCTCCGCGATGGATCGCGCAGTCACAGTCGGAGCTCAGAACTGCGAAAGACAGCCTTAACACCATCTCCGGTCCTCTGCAAAGATGAGGTGAAACGGTAATTGTTGGTAGTCACGACCCTCAAGGATGATTTCCATATGCACGCACACCAATAAATCAATCACCCGGGAATTGCAACACCCGATGCCCCTAGCATCGGTTTCTCTAAGTTCCGTACTACCGGATGAATTGAAGGACGGGAAGAAGCCTGTGTGCTTTGATTCGCCGCTCGGATAGTGTCGTTTGAGAAAACCCGCCGCATACTATATCGATCTCGTCTGAACTCCATGATTGTGTGAGTGAGACGGTCCCGAAGTTGGAGCTCCGTCGAAATCGTAGCTACGCCGAGGTCCAGAATTAATCTTGCCAACGGGAGTATCGTAAGGTTTTGGCCCATGATCGATGAATGATCGAGAGGGACAGGGCTGCGTTTATTGACCATTCTACAACCTGCCAATCATCTATCTGGAGCCAAAGCGATGTAGATTTATGGTTTCGGAGACCTTGGATTTGAAATTGACAAGCCGGTTCTAGTTCAGGGCCCGCAATGAAGGACGAGATGTTCAAGCTTTGACATGTTGATCCCGATGGCGGGCCTCAATTTAACGGACTTCCAATAATCGGATGAAAGAGAAGTAAACTCCGCCGCCGTTCAAATCTCGAGATTTCCGTCTAGGTTTACAGTGTACTACTACATAGCCTGAATTAGGGGCCTGTTTTGAAGGGATGACTGAGTGGCGGACAAACTTTAGATGCTCAGACGTTCACAAGTCATTGCAGTTCAAAGCGTTCCGGATTAGGATTTCAATGCAACTTACTCACCCGCCCAACCGGTGACTAATACTATCTTGATGTATTCCCAAATACCAGTGCACGGCGGAGGTAGACGATGGGACTGACAGCGATAAAAAACACAAATGAACAACACTGAAAGTAGCTGCTTAATCGCGGCCATCCCCCGAGAGTTCCGAACAAATTTGAACGATGATTCATGCACGGAGTGCTCCTCTGACGATGTCCCGAGACATCTGTGTCTGAAAAGTGCACCGCGTACGCGAGCAACAACGTGGAAATCCAAGTACTCAACCTTGAAAGTCCAAGTGTTATGATCCAGATGCGTGGATCTCCGAAAGAGTCGTTAACAACAATCAATATTTATGTTCAATTCAGTAACGCCCGCCTGGCTCAATCGGATAGAGCGTCAGACTCTTATACTGATGGTCAATGCATGTGGTAATCTGAAGGCTGCGAGTTTGACCCTCGCGGTGGGCGATGTGGTCCTGATTTCTGTTGACAATACAGTACTTCACCATCTCAACAAATTTCTTTTTGCATTAGCGCAATCACCCGAGGAACTTCAAAGTATATTTGAAGCTCACTCTACTCCCTGTGAGTCCCGAATGTTGACACTAAAAGCGCTCTAACTGGCCACCTGGGACTCTTTCTGCGCTGCAAACAAAACTTGGTGGTGAGACCTGAGAGTTCAAACTTCACGACGTTCGAGCCACGAACGCTTTTTCTGGGAAAGCTTCACGTAGAAAAGCTTGTAACTTACCTTCACTTCAACGGCGGGGTTGGACATTGAGAGTGAGGACCTAGGGATTGGACGTCGGAGAACAGAATTTGGTGATCAAGCTCAAGTCCCGGACGCGGAAAGACCTTTTACCACTCTGTATTCGACCTTCCCTCAACGAGAGACAATTGGACTAGGAAGAATGATCCGTATATCAGCGGGAGTGATTGGCATCAGATCGAGTGGCAAGTCGCGTCGAATATGATCCTTTGAGCCATTGCCTGTGTCAAAGCTGGTTGGCACATGGAGGCTTTGAATATCCAAGAACTGGTCAGGGGTCTTGGAAACGTAATGGTCCCGATTTTGCGGCTTGGCTAAGGCTCTTCAAGTACCGTCGATCATCCACCAAGCACGACATCGAGAGGATTCCAAAGTCCTCCAGGATTTCTCATTGACCTGCCAATGGCAGGCCCTAGCGATTACGGTCGACAGCCGATTGAGTTATTGTCTGGGACGACAAATCAAATATCACAATTGGATCCAAGTCGGAAGAATTGTGTACTTACTTTGAATTCTTTACGGTCTAACTGAGTTTTTTTCCTCGTTCAGCTCGGAGACTCAGACTTCTCAATGATAAATATCACCTATGTACTTACTTGCTGTGAGAACCTTCACAACGGGTTACACGTTTTGAAGATCTTACTCAGACTGGCACGACGAGTTTCGGGGATCGGGAGTCCTGCCGCTACTGGTGACTCGGGATGTTGAGAGTGGATTAGAGAACCCCCTGGTAGATGATTCAACACCGATTACGAGGCTACTAGTAGCTACAGCCGTATCCGTAGCCTGATTTGTAAAGTCGCGTAGAACAACAGTAATGAGTATATACTTAGAATTCCTCCACAGTACAGCGGGTTCCCGTGATACTTATAGATTACCTACTTACAATCAGAACTTCGCGACGGGTTCAACCGCGGTCCTCTTCTGTACGGATGTTTAGTAGCATCATATACGCATATGTAGACACCGAAACCCGACGACATGGAGATGAGACGGTAGTAAAGAGCTAAGAAGATCCCTATACACTGACCCAATCAGCGCAATCAATCGACGGAATTCAACCCCCCGGGTCCTAGTCTAAGCATCGCTTTTGTAGGTCCCCGGATCACTGAATTGAAGTGCGGGAAGGAGACCTGTGTGCTGTGTACGAGGAAGGTTATTTCTCGCTGGCACGGGCTCATCAGGTCTCTAGAAGGTGAGATTATCTTGAATGTGCGAGACGACGGATCCGGATGTCAGGGGGGTTGATACCACTAGTAAGAGATCCTTAGCCTGATCGAAATTTGAGATTCTACTAAGCTGGTCTGAGGAGTGTGAGAACGGGAGAGGATCGTTTCTGGTGTAGGGAGCGACTTTGGAGTGTCCAAGAGCGGCAGAAAGGTCTCGAGTCATGGTCATGGTCAATGGGAAATCGACTCAGGCTTGGTTTCGCGCGACGAAAGCTGAATATTCTTCTAGAGCCGCGTATGGATGGATACAAAACCGTGCGAAAACTGAGTTGAGACTGGAGCTGTGTATCCAGCTTAACCCGGGCATACGGAAATGGGGCGTCGACCGACGACCACTCTGCCAGCGAGCTCATTACGAGAAAAGGCGACCCCAAAGAACAAATCCTCAATATCAGAAGTATTCAGGACTCAGCAAAGATGAGAATTTTGCTCGCGACGGTACCGTTATTATAAAGATCACAATATCGCGCCGCTGTGGTGTACACTCAGTGATGGAGGATCGTTGAGATGTCATCTTGTACTCGGTTCGAGTATCGTCGAGTCCTCCGCCGGGGGAGAGCTGAGTGGCGTTTGCGAGCCATTCTATTTTGACAAGTGAGTAGTAAGCATAGGTATTGCTCGGGACCAGTTCAGATGAATCAAACAATCGATGCGTCAACTGGAATTCTTACGGGGAACGACAGATAATCCGTGCTTTGTAGGGACGAGAGGGGTCGGAACGGGTGACACGGGCGCACGAGAACTGAATTGGGTACTCTAGTCCCCGAAATCCGACCGTGTAACAGGCCTCTGCACGGCATTGATCAGGAGAAGAGGAGAGCACTATGTGCGAGTGTTTTTGTAGCAATTGCGTAGGACGCCATCGTCGTTGATGAGCCGACTCAATAGCGAAGCAAAGAGAATTCTTCGAGAGCTGTCATCGATATTTTGGGAGAGACCAGCCCGATACTTCGTGGATTCTATTTGATCTCGAACCTCTTCAGAATACAAGAGGGTTGAAGAGTGTCAGAAATGAGTGGACAAGTGACCAAGATACACCCACCAGTAGGCTGTGTGACCGTGTATCGTGCATCTATGGTGACAAGCGATGTTGACGACTCTACATTGTACAACCTTCTTTATCTGCTTCTGTTAGTGTTATCTGATGCGCCGACGAGGAAGAGGACGACCAAGTACTTGGCAAGAGTCCCATGAAAGTGAAAGGTCTGAGTCAAGTTTAGGATTTGTAAGCGACCAGTGATCAGGCTCGAGCCGGCAAATTCCGACGGCCAGCACCACCACAGAAAATGTCTTCTTACGCTTAACCACACCAACGCAAGCGGCGTTTCACGGAAAGTGCCACAGCATATAAAACCAATCCTTTCCTGCTGATCGACGACGTTCGAATTTCACGGTCTAAGTTCGCATTTTGGATACTTGGTTTGTTCGAGGAATGTTTTGCTGGAGGAATGGTCTCTCGAGAGAGCTAGATATGCCGTCCTTCTGGAACACAACTCTAAGCTATTCCCGGATGAAGCATATATACTCAGATAACTCCAGACTTGTGCTACTACGTCGACCTGGAAGGCAAAACGATACCCTTATACCCTTTTACCGCTTTCTCTCTGCAAGTCTGCAAGTAGGAGCTCAATTCTCCCGCGAAAATCAAGAATTCCACTGTTTCCCCAGTATGTTTCCCCGTTCCACCATTCCCTTACCTTCTCGAATGGAAGCTTGTCCTGTATATATTTTCATATGTATGTCTTTTCCGGAAACCTACTCAACTGTCTTCGTAGATCTAACTCAGGCTAGCTTGCTCTTGAGCATGTGATGGATACAGTCTCCAACCCAACAAGGACATTCAGGTCTCTACTCAAGATTCAGCTAGGACCATTTGTCAATGATGTAAGTGCCTGTGGCCCGTTTGTGAAGAATATAGTTGAGATCCCCAGAACTGTCATGATTCATGATTTAGAAATGTTGGTAGAGCTCCCAACGAACGAATTTGGAGCGAGTCAAACGATAATTCACGCACGAAGTTCTCTCACAACTTGCTCACAACATCCGACTCTCGAGAAACACGAATGTGTAAAGTGTACCGCGTACGCAAGCAATCGTCGAGAGCAAACGTCAACATGAGGACTCAGGTAGTCAACCTTAACAGTGCAAGTATTATAATCCAGATGCGCGAACGCCCATCATAGAAGTCATTGATGACTATGATTGCTCATTCCTGAAGGGTAATAGTCTACGAGAGATACAGCGGGTGCAAGGACTTGGGGATGCATCAATCAGTTAACGATTTTAATGTACGCAGAAAGAGGAAACAAGGATTCAAGGAAGCAAGAGAGAGAATCCCTTCATTGTGCCGCTTCAAAGGGAGAAATCGTGTGACTGATAATACTCCCAATCCTTCATACGTGTGACGGAGGATAAGCGGAGCGCCACTGCGACATTGGTTTTCACTGGGAACGGCGTTGACCACTTGAGTCGCCTCCAAGTTTGATCCCCAGCAATATAACGATCGACGCTATCGCCGATCTCTATACCAATGGTGCCAAGTTGACACATGATACTTCGAAGTGAGAGAAAACCTGCATCGGACCTCAGGATAGGCACGGCAACTTGTATCGGATCACCATCGTCCTGTCACACAAGCCATTAGAGCTGCACGAAAAATCGGGGCTGCTGGTGCACTCACGGCTACCCAACCAAAAACTACCACCTCAAATGCGATATCTGCATCACTTGCGTCCAATCGACGATCCCAAATTTTGCCGACCTCTTTACCCATCCCTTCCGACACAGCAGCAGGCTCAGGGGGATATAAGAAGATGACATCGCTATCAGGCACAGAATCATCGTCGTCGCTGGAAACAGAAAGACGATCGCTACGCAAGTTGGCTCCCGTACACTCAATGTCGTCGTCGTCGTCATCCTCCGAAACGTTGGTGTCATTGGAGACAGCACTACGTTTGAGATGAACTTGGGAAGGGGATGGAGTGAGAGTCGAAAGTTGACCAGGGTTGTCTGGAACAGTTATAGGGTCACCTTCACCAGAATCGGTTGGCGTAGGGATAACTCTGCCACGACGACGAGAGGACCCACGGCGCTCGATAGCCTGCGTGAGCTCAGGATCATCAAGAAGAATGGGGAGTGGAATTCTTTCGGCTTCAAAAAGGCTTCGGCCTCTCTTTGTGCCATTGCCTGCAGGCTACGTGTCTAAGTCAGTCTCTTGAGGAGAATGTACAGGAGTTTATGTGACTCACGAGCCAAAACCAGAACCACCTCCCTAAGTTCTTGAATCGATTATCATCAATCCTGCGTACACCTTTGCTCCCCGTTGCGAGATAAATTCCTTCATTAACGATGCGGTGACCCCACAATTTATGGGGCACCGCTGGATTCGACGAAAGGCCGGCTAGACGACGTAGGTATTCCAAACGAAACTTGATGAGTTTCTCATTGGACTTCTTGGTCATCGTGCTATTTGATTCAGTCGATGCCATATGTTTGGAGCGGAAATTTTTGGGGTTTCTTGGTACTGAAGTGCTGACGGCCTAGAGCATTGGGAGGCAAGGAGAGGTTTGCAGCGAGCCGCGGAGTCTGTATTGGCCTTATACGCACGGGAAAATGCGAGATGCCGTGTTCGAAACTGAAAGGGCACCCAATCGAGAGGATGAGAGATATTTGAATAGGTCGTTGTTCAGGCCGGTACGACTTCCATCATAGTCTGCTTCATAAGTTCAAGGCATTTCCCAATTATTGCTTCCTGATGGTTGTCGGGCGCCAGCGGCGATCAAGGTAGTTAAACTGACAGTGAATAGGAGTGAGATGGAAACTCTGTGATAAAGGTTAATACATCAGATGGAAGTCACGGATATGAGTATATAACTACGAATGGTAGGTTTCTCATTGCTTATTGAGAAATGAACAAATCGGATTTCTGTCAGCGTTTTGAGGATGTAACGATAATGATAAAACTCACAGCTTGAACTTCGAGTCTTCGAATTAAGTCGAACCTGTAGCTACCCTCCCTTGTCGTCGGTCGCGGTCGTGGGTGTCGTCAAAACTTATTTACAATCCAGATTCCACGGGTGCTTATATATACAACAGACGTCTCACGCACCCTCAATTGCTCTCAAACGCTCATGAGGATCGGTTAGGAACTCCCTTATTACCTAACCGGAGAACAGACTACAAGGTATGAGCTTCCTGTTTGGAAACTCGATCTACACGAACCAAGAAGTATGGCAATTTTAGAGATAGATAGAGACACGCATTGGAAGCAGCGGGATTACCACTACGAGGCGAAAGATCCTGGCCAGCGTGTAACGTGGATGGGCAGAACTGTCGGACATAACAGCTACAGCATGCCTTTGCGCCAGCTATCCAGCACCCTCTATACCTGAATAAACTGTATGAACTGCGTCGCTTTCAGAAGCTGAATGACGGGTCGATGTCAGCGCCGACGCTGCATGAGATGATTAGACCTTGGGAAAGCTGGAGACCGGGACCGAGTAGAGGGGGATTATTGATATGAAGGGATCGCGTCACTCGCGCATTAGATTGAAGCCTATCAGCAGAGGTGGGATATATGACCTTGAACAGATCGTAGTTGTCAGTCAGTACCCATAAAGCGGTTCAAAGGAACATCGAAAAAATTCTCACATACTGGTTCCAGCACACCAATGATACACCGAAGGGGGAAAGCGACCTTGAGAGATCCCCTTGACTTCGACCGCCAGCAAAGTTGCAGTACTTATCGATGTTGCCGTGCTTCTAACGGTGGTCTGCCCTCCTGCATCGACGCGAGTTGTTCCTATCGGTTCGAAAGTGGAAAGTAATGGAGTGCCAAAGATAACAGCGAAAGGTGAGGTGGAAGTTGAACGGATATATATCATCGCGGATGGGTTGCTCGTCGCTCGCAAAGACACGGATCGATGACTCCAAGATGACTCTGGTCTCAAAGAACGAATCAGGGTGTAACAAAACTCACAGGTTGAATGTAAAATCTTTGAATCAAGTCGAACCTGTAGCTGCCCCCTTTCTTGTCGCGGCCGCAGTTGTGTCCGTGGTTGTAATCAAAGCGTAGTATTCTACGGGCGCTTATGCGCGACCCCTTCATCCCACAATGCCAAGCGCCTTTGTTCCCACGCACCTTCATTTGCCTTTACACAATCACGACACTCGCTCAGACATTCCCTTGCTACCTGTACAACGGTATGGCACTTCGTACATTCAAAAAATGTGCGTACGAGAATTGAAATTGTTATAGCAGCTCGAAGTTTCGAAGTTTTGGAAGGTACCAACCCAGCTGTGCTTGAACGAAATGACACGAAATGACACGGTTTCTTTTGTTGCATCCACCACATATAGGGCCTTTCTTCGTTGTTTGACGCCTCGAAAATACCACAATCATGACAGACTCAGACCTTTTAGGAGACACTCGAGCTCAAGGATTACTTGCAACACTCGCATACCTACCATTCTGTCCATCCAAACAAGACTTGGCGCGCGAAGCTCAGTATATCGACGCTACAGCCCTACCCTTTCACGACTCGGATAGCTTGGAAGAATTTCATCTCGAAGACTCGGATTTTGGCAAAACCTCAATTTCAGATGTCGGCCTGCGCTCCAGGATTCCAAGAGGTGAGGCTATCCATGGATCCCGAGCCTGAGGCTGACTACGTTTACGTTTGAATAGCTCCCACTAACTATCGCGTATCACCCACGCTGTTTCCATTTCACGATATCCAGGAGAACAAGGAACTTGATGGGGAACTGTTTGGTATACCCGAGACTCGGAATATGGAGCAACTCAAGGCTACTTGTACGTCTCTCTACTGGCTTTCCATCCGCCCTGTTCATCTCCACACTTTGTTATTTCTTTCCCTTGCACTCTAGATAACTTCATACGTATCAACACTCGAATTTGCGTCAGACACAGCGTACGGCATCATCGCAAACTCAAGGATCTGAGATGGATGCTGGAGCTACCTGAAGATCTCATCTTGGAGGTAAAAAGCCAAATATCATCAAAGCCAGCAGCCCCTCATTTTATGTTGCTAGATCCTATCTCACCTCCATCCAATCGACTTGCACGCCCTCCGCGTCGTAAATAGACAATTCAGAACCTTTCTTACCTCTCCAACTTCGAATCCACTATGGAGACACACTTTTGGCTTTGCCTGGACTACAGGCGAGCCCGACACCGACACTATACCAATCGAGACGCCCCAGTGCCCTGCGGATTTGAACGGCTGGGAGTGGGCAAGATTGTTATTCGGGGCTCCGGTGTGCGATGTAAGTGATTCACTTACACTGCATTGTTCCGATCTGGTATGAAACTTCCCCCTCCGATGTAGGTGTGCGGCATGATAAGGAGCGATACAAAACCAAACGCTGCGTTTCGCAAGAGGTTGTGTTATCCTTGTTTACAAGTCCGGTGTGTTTTGCTTTTTCTTTTTTGCGTTTTGTACTTGACAGAAAGATTTCGACATGGGGTTGTCGCTAGTATGAACATCTTGCGGGATGAGTTACGCACTCCATTTCCATTTGAGTCGAATACCCTCACGGAGGAAATGAAGAGGTACAAATCCGATAGACGACGGTACATTGATGGTCAGGCAGTTGTGAGTATCTTTGCCTTCCAGACTGAGGTCGTATTGCTGAATACTATTGCCAGTACATACACCAACTAGTCGCCTGGGAGGCACGTATGAAAAAGTGGTTCACATTGACAGTGTCCAAGAGGTACAAGTACAAAGTGAAATCGTGAGTTTCCAATTTCATTCAGAAACGATGGATTCACTTGAGAATCCCCTCTCAGAATCCTCAACTGCCTTCATCGAGACTCGGAAGGATCATACACTCTCAAAGAAATATCCTATGCGACCTATCATATCCGTATATTCGTAGAACAGGAACTCTCACCTAGATACACACACGTGACAACGCATGTTCCGAGGTACGAGAGGCTGCCCAGGAGTAGTAAGTTTTCCGTCACATTTTCTTGCCTTCTTCTCCTTGACTCGACCTCAGAGTGGAACAGAAATAAAGAACTTCAAGCCGTTCTCCACCTAATAATCCAAAGCCGACGTACATGTAAACACAGGGAACTCATCCTTCGACTGATCAACTCTGTTCGCGATCGGTTATGGGCTGGCGGCGACTCAGACGTGAAATATTGGCCTCCATCAAAGATGCTAGCTCGTGAAATGAGTCCGTTCAAGGAGTTGGGAGAGCTTGATCTGTCTCGCGATGCCCTGCGATTGGCATGTGAAGAAGCGACCGCACAAATTCCTACCGTCGTCAACGAGTGGTTAGCTGGAGTCGAGGAACATTTGACAAAGGAGACCGGTGGAGGCGAGGAAACGCTCGACTTGACTCTGGCAACGTCGATATTCCGTTGTCGAGCGTCAGGTGAATGCGGTCAAGGTACCAGATTGATCGGGTTAGAAGGCGTGGTAGACCACCTCCGGAATCCGACGTGTCCGATTTACGGACACCGCTATAGGTTTCATCTTGGTGAGATCAGTCGTTGGATACGGTTCTGTCGAACGGCTTCCAGGATGGTTTTTGGGATTTTGGAGATGCTGGGTTTGGATGCCTCGAGGACTTTGGCCGAGGATATGGACGATAGAGGAGATCGGTTCAGATGTTTGAGCTGCAGTGGGACGCCGGAGGCGGGGTATGATTGGAGGAAAGCGGTGGGTTTGATTAGTTTTTCTGTGTGGAATCCTCCTGACCATTGCTGGGTAGGTCGTTCATCAAGAGTCATGCCATTTCAGACGTCTGATTCGTTGGGAGGTTATGTGATTGACGTTCTCAAACCAAACCAAACCACCAGCAGGGCCGCGACAGCTGATCGTTAAATGTCGTGTCAGCAACTTTGCCGGTGGCTGAGGACTCTAGTTTACTCGCACATGCAACTTGTCAAAGACTTGGACGATGTAAGATATACTTAGTAGAAACATACTGGAAAAAGTACAGACCTCTCCGTTCTGAGCCCTGGGAATAACAAGATGTTAGTGTACTGCGTGAGCACTGAATTGGTCCGGGACTCCATACATGCTTAGTTGTACCCGTACAAATATAACGGTCCGATGGCGTAGTTGGTTATCGCATCTGTCTAACATCTGCGAGACGCACATTATCAGTTGTTTCACAGAAGGTCCCCAGTTCGAGCCTGGGTCGAATCACTTATCCATGGAGGTAGTCTTTTTCCCTCCCCCCTTCTTTCTTGAAGAAAAATGGCACGTACCGGGGACCCTTTTCAAGATTACGCCAAGTTCCAGTTTATTTGGATCAAGAAGTAAGTAAGTAGATGGTGACAAAAAATTATAATGATTCGACCCAGGCTCGAACTGGGGACCTTCTGTGAAACAATTGATAATGTGCGTCTCGCAGATGTTAGACAGATGCGATAACCAACTACGCCATCGAACCGGATGGATGTGGAAGGTCGCGAGTGGGCTGTGTCAAGGGTAATTGGTAACCGGTAACATAGGGAGACCAGAATGGAAGGAGGCCATGTTAAGTACAGTTACATACACAGAAGACGAGGACGAGGACGAGACGAGGACGATATATGTAGTATGTAGTATGCAAGAGACAATAGATGTAGGATGTGGGTTTTGGATAAGGCAACAGTACGTGATAAATACCAAGAAAGAGAGGCATGATATGATATGATAAAGTCGAAGTCGATACTATAATGCTGAGGGGTTTTCTGAAGAGTGTGGATTCGTGTATGAGTGAGTGGGATAAATAGAAGGACGATTGATGAATAGCGAATAGCGAATATTGAACACGGAACAAGGAATCGTATCGATTTGCAGTTCGTTTGTTGTAAGTTTTCGGTGTTGTATTGGAGTTTTTTCGGCTCTAAGGGAACGTCAGTACACAACGAACTTGGGGTCGCAAACAGAGAGAGACAGAGAGAAACGCACATCGTAGTAGCCCGACGTCTAACTGGTGAACCTCCTGGGCATCTCTGGCCTCACAGGCTTGGCATTCCCTTCTCTCATCTTCTTACACAACGCATCCCAATCCCTGAGAGCCCTAACGAACCCTTCGTTCGGCTTGGCACAAGGCCTCTTCTGGAGAACGAACTGGAAGGCCTCGTCATACGACATATTGCGATACCGGATGAGATACGCAATCACGATCGCCGTCGAGCGGGATACACCCTACCACCACCACCAGGTCAGCCAGACAGTAGCGAAAAAAAGCCGGCACACGACAGCTCAACGAACACACCTGCTGACAATGAACCAAAACCCCCCTCCCGCTCTTCACCTGACCATCAATAAACCCACATACACCCTCGAGGTACGGTTTCAAATCGACACTGGAAGCATCGAGAATGGGAATCTTGTAGCATGTAAACTCTTTTTCGTCCAACGGCGGGATCCAAGGTGCGTCTATCACCTGGACGACGACGCTGACCCGGTGAGCGCGGAGCATACTGGGGTCTTCGATGGCGCTTAGGGAGCCTAGGTAGAGGCTGCCGACGCCTTGGGGGAGAGGGGTACCGGGCAAGGAGGGGGATGGGGTACCGGAGGATGGGGGTGTTGGGTACGGCGATTTGACTGATGACGATGATGATGTGCGAGAGACTGGGCCCGAGGGTGGGACAGACAAGACGAGGTGCATGGGCGTGCACATTGCCTGCATAACTTCTGGGGGAGGTTGTCGAAACGGATCATTGTGGATGGTGATAGTGGGTCGGTCTGGGCTTCTGGTGGTGGGTGAAAGACAAGAAAAGAGCTCTCGGGGATGACGCCGGCACTTGACAACTATGATGTGGAGTGACGAGTGGAGTGTCCGTTCACCCACACAGGAGCGCAGAGGAGCAACGGAGCGACAGTGAAACAGGAGCTCGGCCACTCGCTCGCCTATATCGATGGGGCCGCCCAGAAAAGAACCTTGGCAGTACGAAAGAGGGAAAGACGAAACGAGCACGAAACGAGCATAAAATAACACAGCTGAGAATTTGAGAGGGACCCGGAGTTTCGGAGACAGCAAGGCTTTGTGATGTCATTCTTACGCATCTACTCCGGTGCCTGATCCCTGATCAGACCTCACACCGTATTCCGTGCCGACCGGTCTAGGCCCTCGGCGACCCTCTGCTCGCTGCCGCACGTTTTAACGGCGTTGATCGTCCTCTTTGCGCTATAAACTACCTCCAAAACTCGTCTGCAGGTAAGCACTCTGTACTCCCCCTCTAACTACACCACATCGCCTACTCCACCCCCATCCAACCCACAAACCGATACCGAACCGTGTAAAAGCACCCCGGGTCAACGCCCCCATCTTGCTCTCATCATTCAATATCCCAATTCAATAACGGCTTTCGGCATTCCCAACGCGAACTCAGTCCTCACTCGAAATGGTGACCAGCGGTCTGGCCTAGTCTAGGTTCCCTGGCCTTAATTATACATCCTCCCCATATTCCGAGGCCTGAATTTATCGTGTCTACCGTCCGCCGTCCACTGTTCGTCGGCGGGAGTTTGAAGCTATCTGTATCGTAAAAATTGCATCATCCGAAGAAGAATCAGAAACAACAAGTACCGAAATGATGAATCTATGCATCTACTTACGTGTACAACGGAACGGCTACCAGGATACCTTCCCTCCGCAATCAGAGTAGTGGAATCAGACTACCTACCATCCCATAACTAGAAATCACGACTTTCTCTACCTCCACGTTCCCGAGACTCGTGTAACCCATACCCCCTACCTACGTGGCGACATTATCCTCGTTCCCGTGTGTACCCAATTGGGAGCCGCCTCCACGTCGAAATTAAACGTACGTGTCGATATCACTTGTGGGTTCTCGTGCGTATATACCCCCAATACACTAGACCAGAAATTGGAGAGCACGACTCCTCCGTAACGTACGTGTCGACATCATTCATTTCTTGCAGGTTCTCGTGGTGTATATACCCCCAATATACTATGGTCAGAGACACCCGACGACTCCTCTACCTCCACGTTCTCAGGACTCGTGCGCGTATACCCCCACTATTTCATTCCCGTGGCCCCCAATAATTGGAGAGCCACCTCCACGTTGGACGTACGTTCTCGTGTATACACTACAGAGTCAGAGACACCCAAAAAATTGGAGAAGCGCCTCCAGTGTCCACGTCAAAAAACGTATGTGGCGACATCATCTCCGTTCTCGTGCTCACCTCCTTCCCCCGACATCTCTCCGACTCCAGTAGCTATATTCGGGTAACTGAACAGACCTAACATCTGGTTCGATGGCGTAGTTGGTTATCGCATCTGTCTAACATAATAGGTGCTGCATGTAGCACAGAAGGTCCCCAGTTCGAGCCTGGGTCGAATCAATCCCTATGGACTCTGTGAGTCAAGATTTCGTTTTTTATTTTTTTGGTCTGGTGGTTTGCAGTTCCTCGGATACATACTTACATGATGGAATGACGGCGACGGTGAAAAAAAAATTAAATTAAAAAGAGATGGAAGAATCTATATGATTCGACCCAGGCTCGAACTGGGGACCTTCTGTGCAACATGTGCCACTACAGTATTTTACCACTCCTTGAGACACCATCACTCCATGATACAGTTGGGTTTTCTGGCAGTTTGAAAGGCCCGCAGTGTCATTGAGGGTACTTGTATTATGTGTTCATAATGCCTCGTCCAGAGCTGGTATGTTTTGGACTGATACGTGAAGTATTCATGGAGAGGGGCCTTGAGGAGTGATTTTGAGAACAGCCAGCAAATTTCTATTTTGCGTATGGTGATTGCTACATGCAATTTTCAGCAAAGTAGAAGCCATTTGTACTGGAAGTACATACAGACAAGTCTGCTCACCAATACTCTTGATATCCGGTTCTTGCATTCACGGGCAAGACAGCGAAGATGGTCGTCGATGAGACGCAGCGTGACTGAGGTCACGTACTGTAACGCGTTGTGACAGTCGTGACACATGTTGTCCGTGTCAATCTGACCTTGATTTGACCACTCCACGACGTTCTTCACAGCTTGCAAGACTATAATTCACCTCTGTTCGCATCTCATTCACAAAATCAACCCAAATTTTCCGATGAAGGGCGATGTATCACAAGCATGACAATGTGTATCAAGGACCCGGGAATGGACCAAATGAGGTCTTCTGACTGAAAGCACCGCGACAGACGACTACGACATGCTATCTGCGCAAGATTTTACACCAACGTACTAGGGATCCAAAGATATGTTTTGAGATACTTTGCGCCCGAAACCATCGGTCCATTGATATTGAATGTGCCCGAAACCTTTTTGGTGTACCAAGGAATGGTAAAATACTGTATCCATCAACCAATGTTAGACAGATGCGATAACCAACTACGCCATCGAACCATTTGCAAAGATGGGCGGTCCCCTACCGGTATACCCTTCGAAACCATATCATGAACCGGACCGAATCTTGATTTTTCCCACCACCCCATATTCGGGGAGTGAACCTGTTGCTGCAACTTTGCTACACTATGAAATAGAACACAGTCAAAAATCCTAGCAAAGAGATTGAATACACAAAACTGCGGAAGCAAGAATGACACAATCTCTCGCGAAAGGCAGCGCCTGGTTTTACGTCGCTTGTTACCCTTCCGCAGACTTTTATCAGGTCCTTGAGTTTCCGATGTTTTATGTACGCAGGTTTGAGTGTTCATAGGTGTGAAGTTACCCTGGACCCAGAGCGCGAGGGAGAGATATAACAAAAGGCGGAAGCGGATGGAAAGCCAGTAAAGAGTATCCCTACCAAACAAATCCCCCCCCCCCCCCATCAAGCTTCAAGCTTCAAGTTCCATGTTATGCTGAATACCGTGAAATGTCAAATAGCGTGGCGCGAATGTAGGCGGGAGAGCTGTTTGAACATAAATGCCCCAGGCTCGGAATACATGAATATCCTCACCTCTTGGAATCCTGGAGCGCTGCAGAACCACCCCCCTCGACTCCGAGGCTCGTGTACCCCATACCCCCGACACAATGTCGTGACTCGTTCCCGTGTGGACCCAATTGGGAGTCGCCTCCGTGTCGACACCATTCGTTCTTGTGGATTCTTGTGCGTATATACCCCCTCAATACACTAGACCCAGAAATTGGAGAGCACGACTCCTCCGCCTCCACGTCAAAACGTAGATGGCGACATCATCTCTGTTCTTATGGTCCCCCCCCCCCCATATCTCCCGACTCCTGTAGCCAAATACGACTCCCGAGCAACTGAACATACTCACCGACTGGTTCGATGGCGTAGTTGGTTATCGCATCTGTCTAACATATAGTTTTGACTGTGACCCTGTTACACAGAAGGTCCCCAGTTTCGAGCCTGGGTCGAATCACTATCAACTTGCGAAAAACGTCAATTTTTCTTTTGTGGTCTTTGGTTTTTGAAATCAGGGATTGATTCGACCCAGGCTCGAACTGGGGACCTTCTGTGTAGCAAACGACATGGTGTCAAATGTTAGACAGATGCGATAACCAACTACGCCATCGAACCTTCATATGTTCACCATCAAGTATTGGAGCACAACCAAGGACGCGTCTTCACACGGCACATATTTCCCCTCCCCCAATCCTTTCCTTTGTACAAGGCTTACGACTGAGCCAGCGGAGTTGCTTCGGCAATGACGCTCGACTCCCGTATAGATCTCGGTTCTCTCCACTCAGGTGGGAGTCAGGGTCCAGTCACCTACTTGATGCACCTCCAATTTGTGATTCAAGCCTGCCTCGCTTGTGGGGTTTTCATCTTTGTTGAAGGGGTACGCTATTGAGGGAAGGAAAAGGCAAGGAATTCAAATTTCAGCGACAGGCAATCTCGCAGAGACTCGTCACCCACCCGTTAGTAGTGAGGAGTGAATCGATGGCCCAAAAATTCCTCCGAGTGCCAACGCAACAGAACACAAAATCATTTGGGGGCCCGTTGATGGGTGCCCGTTATGTGGTGAGTCAAACGCCCCGTTCGAATCCCTCGATTCAAATCATGCTCCGCCGTCCCTCTCAGTCTTTCAACTTGGAAACCAGACCAATGGATGAATTTCGGCTATGGCGATGTATACACGGCCAGCCGCTACAATGAGGGGAGTTTGTGTTCTCGCGACAGTGACGACCTGATTTTTTTTTTCCATGCGCCGAAGGCAATGGGAGCATGTATTCAAGGGTTTGGCTCAGGACTTTGATGTTTCCGTGACGGTGTGTTTTGTGTGTAGCCTGATCCCCGGTATGTGGACTGTCGTTCTCACGCCATTGATTGCTCGTTTGTTTTGTTTTGTGGCGTAGATCCAGCCACGTTCGCGTCGCGCTCCAAACTTGCGGAACTGTACCTCTCGGTCATCTTTAGGCCGAATATTTTCCAGGTCACCATTGCGGACGGGTGTTGGAAGTCGTTGTGGGGGGCGAGGATTGAAAAGTTCGTGTAGGAAGGACGGTGGCAACCGGTGTTAGGCAGCATTTTACCAACCAGTACGGCTTGAGATCGAGAGGCCCGTTTCTTATTTACCAATCTGAGTATGTCATGATGATTCTACTATATTTCAAATCATCCAGACTCCCTAGTGCTACGTTCTTCGTGAGAATCGAGTTCTCCCCGACTATCATTAATCTTCTCGGTAGTTTGAGAGGAAGTGCTAATCACATAACTTCCCAAAGACTTGGACGTCGGAAGTGGCTTGACTCTTGGTGAACAACCTGGATAATGGTCAGGCGAATTCCATATAAGGAAAGGATAAACAAATCCCACCGCTTTCCTCCAATCATACCCCGCCCCCGGCGTCCCATTGCAGCTCAAACATCTGAAGCGATCTCCTCTACTGTCCATATCCTCAGCCAAAGTCCTCGAGGCGCCCAAACCCAGCATATCTAGAAGCCCCAAAACCATGCTGGAAGCCGTTCGACAGAACCGTATCTGGCTCATTTCCTTAGGAGGAATTCTAAGGCAGTGTTTGCCAAGCGGGCATGGCGAATCCCACCGGGTTGAGCAACCCCGAAGATGGTCTGTTACGGCTTCTAACCCGACATGTCTCGTGCCTTGACCGCATATGCTTGAGGCTCGACAGCGGAATATCGACGTTGCCAAGTCGAGGGACCCCCCACCGATCTCCTCTTTCAAATGTTCTTCAACGTCAGCCAACCACTCGTCGACAACGGTCGGAAATTGTGCCGCCATGCCTTCTTCACATGCCAGTCGTATGGTATCAGAGTCGTAGTCGGTGAACAGATCAATCCTCCTCAACTCCCGAAACGGACTCATCCCACAGGCTATGATCTCTCCAGAAGGCCAGTGCCGTGCGTTTGATTGGCCGACTATCAGCCGATTACGAGCATCGCAGATCACTCTAAGGACGAGGTACTCGCGTTCACGTCTACGTCGGCTCTGAATCGTTTTGTGAAAGATCCTTTCGAATGTTGCTTTGTTTCTGATCCATTCTAATACTGGGTCAGAAAATGTGGCATGGAGAAGTCGGAAAATTTTACTTACTACTTCTAGTCAGTCCCTCGCCCTTTGAAAAGTCTGCGGGCCATCTGTGTGGTAAGAGTTCTCGTTTTATGAAGTTGTAGATGTCATCGCTCGCATGGGATATCTCATGGATGGTGTATAATTCTTCCGAGTGTCGACGGAGGTGGGTGATCATTCTAGTAGGGAAGAGGCAATCAACGGTAACTCGATCATTTGGAGAATAGGGACTCACGATGTCACTTTGTCCTCGTACCTCTTCAGCGCCGCTGATTTGAGCCAGTTGTTCATATGTACCTCCCAGGCGCCTAGTTGACGTATGTGCTGTGTCCAGTGATTGGTAAGGCGACCTCGGCCTGAAAGTGAAGATACTCACATTTAGCTGAACAGCGATGTACTGAAGTCTATCAGATTTGTACCTCTCCAACTCCTCCGTATTACTATTCAATCTTTGCATTCGGTGAAGTTCCACCCATACTTGATCAAGGTCAGATAGGACAACGCAATCTGGCTCATTGTTCGTGACGAACAAAGAGCTGCTGTTGTCCGAGTAGGGTTGCGAGACTAAGGTAAGGAGATTTAAGGAGATTAACATAAAGAAAGAGAGGGAAGGGGAGGGAGAAGTCGTAAACACGAACGACCCACAGTGGAAAGTCCTCAGAACCATATCATCAACCAGATTGTATCTCTTCGCTAGCTCGGATGTGGCATCCGACTGTTGCCGCATCCACATCACACTACATTGGAGTCAATTTCCCTGCCAGATGAAATGAGGAGACTAGAAACGCAAACGCACCGATCACATAAACAAGACTGACACAGTCTCTTGCGAAACGCAGCGTCTGGTTTTACATATCTCGATACCGCTCCACAAACCTACATCGGAAAGGGAGGGGGAGATAAGTTCGAACAGATTGAATGTAACCGCATTCACTTACATCGCACACCGGAGCCCCAAATAACAATCTCGCCCACTCCCAGCCGTTAACATCCGCGGGACAAATTGGTACGGAGTCGGAAGCTGAGGCTAGGACGAAAGTGGATCTCCATAGTGGACTAGAAGCTGGGGAGGTAAGAAATAACCTGAATCGTTGGTTTACGAAGCGGAAGGCGTGTAAGTCGATTGGATGGAGGTGGAATAGGATCTATATAGTATACACGATGATGAGAGCCATTGACGTTGATGCAATTTGGGTTTTACCTCACCTCCAAGATGAGATCTTCAGGTAGCTCCAGTATCTTTCTTAAATCCTTGAGTTTCCGTTGATGTCGTACGCTGTGTTTAACACAGATTTGAGTACTGAAACACGTGGAGTTATCTGGAGTGCGAGGGAAAAGGTGAATAAACCCAAGATGAAGGTGAACAGGGCAAATGAAAAACCCGTATAGATTTTGGAAGGATACATACATGTGGCCTTGAGATGGCCCATATCCCGAGTCTTGGTCCTACCGGCAGTCTGAGGGTCAAACAGTTCCCAACACCAGAACAATGGTCGCTAGATTCTGACCGCTCACGAACACCCTGATTGCTCATGAGCGGTCATGAGCAGTGTGAGCCTCGGGGCTGCTCACAAGTGAATATGGGACACCTCTTTTCTTGTGTGCCCTCGTGAGCACTGCGAGGCTCACAGTGCTCATAAACAAACTGGCATTCTTGAGATCACATGAACTTACCTGTTCTCGTGTCCGCACATGAGCATATCATGAAACGAAGAAAAAAAAAGCGCGGGAATATTCATTCAGTTGCACACGTTACTTGGTACATAACCTAAAATTAGTTCAAGAGGGACTACCTAAATGTGTACGCTCTAACGACTGCTGAACATACTCAACATACTAAATCCTAGGGACGATCACCTTGTTTTAGAGTTAGCTACGACGACTTCAGTTGGTATTGAATTGGTCGCCGACATTGTCCTGCTAAAGGGTGAATCGTTACTTTTGTGAGCAAGTCGTCAAAAAAGGAAGAGGTGCTAAAACATACCTCAAACATAGTAGCAGTACATATTTCTGGGGTCTAACGCAAGTGGTGAGTACCGTTGATAGCGAGCACGAGGGCCTGAGGAGGGGATGGGGATGGGGATGGGGAATATACCTGGAGAACGGCCAGGTACTTATACGTTTTGAGGGTGGTCTGTGCGCCGGCTTTCTCTTGCCCATAAATAGCAATCTCAGCTCGCCAGCTTCATCATGACGTCGATGCTCACCGATGGCGCACGGACCTTGGTCACGTTCTCGCAAGGTGCACGTCCAACGTTGACAGTATGACTACAATTGATTCCAGCCAGAACACGTCAGCTAAACAAGTCAGTTCAAAGATAATAAACGGTCTGCATACCTTTTCCTTCACTAACATCGAATTTTGTCTCTATAACCCCTTCGTAGAGTCGCCTATCCTTCCCTGTTGTGAGAGATTCTGGTAGAGCTGTCAACTTGTTATACAGTGTTATCCGACCGGGAAGAAAGCAGTAGAGGGTTTGTCTTGGGTATGTTCGGAGCACTCTGTGTGTATCCTAGAGTTGGTAGCCCATCAGCGCTTGACATTTGCAAACAAAGAGAGGCTTTAATAATATACTAGCAGTACCGCCTTGAAGGCTCCAACCTTAGCCGTGACCCAAACTAACGAAGCTCAATTGTCTGATTTCCTATGGTTTATTGAGCTTGGTTTCTCTTCAAAGTCAAGATAGAGGGATAACTCACGGGCAATAAGAATGGCGAGATTTGATTTATGGTGATTGGCAGCAACAGTGACTGAGTGATGGTGGTTGCGGTTCAAAAGTGCGAGGTGGCTGTGTCGCCCGCGTGCCCATTATATCGCTCACACAATGTCCATTTCGTCTAACGCCCAGAAGCAATTTGAGTGCCAGCCGTTGACTGAGGACTCATGGA